GAAGCCCACAAGTAAAATTAAGCCAACATTATTTTCCTGAAGAGAACTCCGAAGTTTTTCACAGACACAAAAAATATTCCTTTGACCTACTTTTATACATCTTATATGAGTTCGGCATCACGGGTGACCCAAGGAATGAAAGGCAACAGTTGGATTCCTCTTCAGGAAATAAAAGCCCAGGGCCGAAAGGCAGCACACCAGGCAGGAAGCACCCCCTTTGGACAATGCTTAGGGAGCCAGCTAGCGCGTATGCGCGCCCTGGCCTCCGCCTGACACACGCCGTCTCCCGGGTCCGCAACCGTCAAGCGTCCAGCGTCCAAGTCCGCTGTCATCATTTCACCCACCGACAGTAAATTCACAGGGGAAAAACCCACAGGATTTTTTTTTCTTTAAAAAAAGACATTTATATTTGTACAACCGCCCTGAAAATCACAAGTGCAAACTGAGCAAGTTAAGTTGCGGGTGCCTTAAACGCAGGCATTTAATCGAAGCGTGAAATTTGTTTCCTTTAGTGCTCCAGACGTTAGATTGTTTTCCCTTTTTATTTTGTTCTCACTTTTTTGGCTGCAAGTAATTTGTGGCCGCAAGATTTCAAAGCATAAAGTCGCATAATTAAGCCACACGCTGGACGAAGGGGCACCTACCTCGCAGGGGGACGCGGTGGCCGCGCACGCTCTGCAGCTCTGCTCCCCGCGGGGCCCGAGCCATCGGGGAGGCCGGGGATGCTGGCCGCACCCGAAGTCCCTCGGGCCGGACCCGGCCACCCCTGCGCCCAGCAAGTTTCAAGAGGCGGCTCTGCAGCCTCAGCGCTTCCCACCGCCTGGCTGCCGGGGCCGGAGCGAGCGCGGAAAGGGGCCGCAGCTGGAGAGCTGGAGAGCGCGAGCTCGCGGCCGGCTGCGCGGGCGGCTTCCTCCTTTTACGGAGCCGCGCGGGTGGGGCTGGGCGGGGCGGGCCCACGTGACCGCGGGCGGGAGACGGTACCCTGTGCCTGGCCGGGGGGTGGGGGGCCCTCCCCTCACCCTGGAGTGTCAGGTTTAGGATCCTGGTAATGCGCGGGGCCCGAGAAGGAGCGTTTGGCACCAAGCCCGGGTGCTGCTGGCATTGACGCTGCCGGTCGGGGGCTACGGGTTAAGGATCGTGTCGCTGGACCCTGCCCCACGCGCGTGTCTTTAAATGCAAAAGCCTGTCTCTAAGAAATCAGCAGTGGACCTGGGGGCTGTAACTCGGCGGGGGAGCGCTCGCCGAGTGTGCGCGAGGAGGCCCTCGGTTCCATCCCCAGCCCACGATAAACTTTAATGGTATTCATAATCACCTCGGCCTGTGGGCTCCCCGCTCTCAGAGGCTGGCCGGGAAGGCCTTCGCGGTAAGTGGAAGACCCGGGGCTGCGCGGTGCCTCCGTAGCCCGGCGCCGGGGTCCTCTCCCCTCGCGGCCGAGAGGCTCCCGCGCCCCCTGCTGGCAGCCCCAACTCTCCCAGCTCGCGGTCTGCGCTTTTCACGCGTCCGGCCCGCGGCGGGGCGGACACGGCGTGCCCAAGGCTCAGGACACCAAAGGAGAGTCTTAAGGGGAGGGCGCGGCCGCGAGGCCCGGCGCCTCACCTGCGCCTCGGATCCTTGCACCTGCGCAGAGGAGTCCTGCGCCTGATACCAATCTTGAGACGTGCGCTCGAGCTGAGCCCTGTTCCTGAGTTCAAAGCTCTGATCTAGCGCAAGATCTAGCGAGTCTTTGCTCGGACAGCCTAGATGGAAAGTCAGACTTCCCTGCCACCACCCCCTTGTAATCCGAGTGACCCGCCCTGCGGGCAGGACGCATCTTCTCTTTTTTCCTTCAGAGCACCTTGGCTCCTTGACGTTTATTTTACGCTTCCTTTTCTTCTTCGTTTGCCTTCAGTTAACTTACACCTTCATCAATTGTTCTGGCTAATTCACTGCACAGTTAAGTGTATGGCAAGAACTGCTGGTCATTTCTGGTCACTACAACAAGTAGTGATGGATGCATCCCCAAGACAGAGGCATCCGTTGGTGGTGAAGGTTGAAACGGACAGTGGATGTCCCTCAGGTCTCTGTGAGGGCCCAGTGTCACATCTACGCCCTACTAATCATCAAACCGTGCACACGTGTGCTGTTGAGGACATGGCTCTTGATGGCCTGTGATCCGGATCTCTAGTGCAAGAGGCCCAAAGGGACAAGGAGGCAACCTTGTGCAGTGCCAGCCTCAACTGTTTGTGGCTGAGGTTGAGCCGGCCTAGCCAAAAGGAGTCTTCAAGGGACTGCGGTACGCACTGGGTGTGTTAAGCATGAAGTCCAGACTGGCTCTAAGTATGAAGAGCCTGCTTTATCAACAATGAGCAGTGGTTATCTAACACCTCCACTACCCCCACCCCAAGCCCAGTTTCCATTACAGCCATTCTGGGCTTCTCTCGGGCTGGAAGGCCCTTTCTTGATCCTCCAGGCACAGAAGTTAGTCGGGACTGAAGAGCAAGCAGATGGCTGATGAGATCCACCCAGTGAAATCGCGCAAAGGTTTTCAAGATGTTTGCTTTGGCAATCTCAGCCTGGCTGTGTGCTCTCTTCTGGGTGTTCCTGCAAGCCCCGGGTACCTATGTGTTCTGCCTTCTTTTCTCCTTAATGATGGTTTTTAAAAAATCAGTTCCATTTGGTGGTACTTGCTTGTAAACAAGGTATCTCTGGGAAAAAAAAAAAAAAAAAAAAAAAAGGTATCTCTGAAGTGGAAATATAATGAAAGAATTTCAATCATGAGCTGTCAGGCAGGTAAAGACCAGGAGAAGGAAGAAAACTGACCTCTATGGAGTACCTATATTGTGCTACACAGTGTGCCAAACATCTTATTTAATCTTCACATCAGTTCATGAGATGACACTGTCCCCACTCTTCAATGGAGAAACTGAGCCTCACGAGGTTTATATTAGCTACCTGAGGCTGTGCAGGAAAAAAGGAACCAAGACGAGCACAGTGGATAGTTGCCATTTATTGGATATTTAACCATGCCCTGGTTTCTATTATAGTATCTCATTTTATACACAACAAGCCTTGAGATAAATTCTATTATTATTTGTATTTTATGGTTCAGGAAAGGTAAATGAGCTCCCCAAGAGCACATGGCCTGTCAGAGGCTGGGAAGGACTTGAACCCAGAACAGAGCCCAAGGCCCTGTTCCCCTCCATACCATCCCTGTGATGGATCAGGGATTAAAATGGCCTGCAGAACGTTGCATTTCCTGTGGACACACCCCACCTCAACCCTCCTGCCATCCCAGAGGCCAGCTTTGACTCACCCCAGGAAGCAGAGTCCTCTGTCTGCTGTGACGCTGCCTTCAGAAGTCATCATACTCCTGGAACAGCATGTTCTCTTTTGAAAGACCCTCAAACACCTACAGTTTGCTCTTTATTACACAGGGAGAGCAAACGGCAGGAAATGTAAGCAAAGAGAATGAATGGGTGGGAGCAAGTTTCCTTCTGACTCACCCTGCCCATCAAGAGAGATAACGAAGGCAGGGATGGAATCCTTGCTGGCTCAGTGCAGAGTGGAGAGGGTGGCTGTTCCACCTCTACCTGAACGGTGATCAAAACTAAGAGGGGGCCGGGGAGATGGCTCAGTGGAATAAGTGCTTGCCTGGCAAGCGCAGTGGCCCAAGTTCAATCCCCAGTTCTGCTAAATAAATAAAAAAATAAAATAAAGGTAGAAACTGCATTAAAAAAAAAAAAAAAAAAACTAACTAACGGGACTGTGGAGGCAGGTACTACCAATGGCTAGAACGAAGCACACTAAACTTAGAAGATGAGCTAAATGTCACCCGGGAAGCAAGCAGCCAGTCCCTAGTCCTTCTCTGAATCTGAATCTGAGCTATCCCCCAAACCATATCACCCCCTCTGGGAAAACAACATCTGCAGCCAAGTCTCTGTTACCCTCATTTAATCTCAATCTTGGCCTTTAATGTTTGGACACAAACAGATAAAGTAACTCTTGCCCTATGTATTTGTACTTAAATTCTGCACACATCTTGCACATGCCTTGAGTTTCTAATGTCCTATCCATTGGAATCCAAACAGCACGAAAAATATGCTTTCCCATTCTCACCCCCGGTTCTGATTACAGCAATTCTCTCTCATGAGCTCGGAGAGAAAGGCCCTGGAGGTCGCTGGCATGAACATGAACACCCAGTTGAGAAAGAAAACGTTAAAGAACTGTTAGAGACAGTGGCAAATTGTAAGATGCAATTTCACAAATGACTCAAATGCAATTCTGGAAATGTAACTTCCTTACCTCTTTTGACTTGGAATAAGATAATATTACTAGCAGGCCAGACAGTGTAATATTCCCCAAAAAATGAGGTCAAAAGGGAGAAAGGATATAGACAGACATGGCTAAAAGGCCACAGACTCTAATAAGACTGTCTGATTTCATAGTTTAGCATTTAAAAAAAATTTTTTTTCTACTCTTAAAATGTATTTTTAACATTTTCAAGCTCTTCATTCATATTACAGAAACTTACCAGAAATACTGGCCTCAAATAACTCTCCCATAGCATATATTGCAGAAAAGGCTTTTATAAAAATCCAAACCTATCATATAAAGAGAGGAGATATAAGTTCTAGTGCTTTATAGCACAGTAGAGTGACTACAGTTGACAATAATTTACTATGCATTTCAGAATAGCTAGAAGAAAGAATTTTTAATGTTCTCAACACAAAGAAATGAGCAGTGCTCAAGGCGATTATCATAATCTGGTCATCACACATGGTAATTATTTTGATTTGATCATCACATTGTATATGTGTATTGAAATATCACACTGTATTTCATGTATATATATGAACAACCATGATGTACCAATTTCTCAAAAAGAACAAAGGGGGGCCCGGCCCCTTAGCTCAACTCTTCAAGTGGCTGCTTCAACAAAGCAGTCAGGCTCAGGTTGCTGTGGTTCAATCCCCACAACTCAAGCCAGCCAGACCTGCCCTGAAGGCATTCGGAGCCAAAAAAAAAAAAAAAAAAATCCTTCAAAAAGAACAAAGTCCCCCGCCCCTTCTCTGGCAAGCACAAAGGTCTGAATTCAATCCCACAAAGGGAAAGGTGAAATTTACTACCTCAAGAAAAATATATATGTATGTATGTGGCCAATCTTTTATGGCCAAAGAAAAGATGTTTCTCTTACATGCATTACCGCTTGATAAGATGAGCCTAACCAGAGAGAAGGATTATTTTTGCCCCATTATTCAGTACCCTCCTTTGCTGGGAATTACAATCAGAAATGAACTCCAAGTAGCTCATACAGCTTCTTAGCGATCGCCATGCTGTCTGGGGGGATCGCTGCCTTCTCTCACGTTTTTTCTCTTCTTTTTATATCTCCACATATTTTTTACTATATACTGAAGCAATTTCGCTCACTAATCTCCACTTCATGATTCTGCCTTTGGTTGAGCTGTATGCTTCCCTGACCATGCCGCATATATTCTGTCATCAAGCAGGTACCGTGTACTAAGAGAACCACCACCCTGGGTGACGTTGGCTTTTACACTTGCATGTTGTGTTTTCACACCAACCCTATGACATTGCCTTTATCACTAATGTGCATTATGAAAACTTTGAACTAATTCTCCAGATTTATACTTACAGGAACTCAGATCAGGATGGGAGGTGTAGCTCAGTGGTAGAAGACCTATCTTGCATGCACAGGTCCCTAGATCCATTCTACACACACACACACGGTCATCTGACTCTTGAACAGGTCCACATCCGCC